CAAAAGACCCCAAAAGTCCTGAATAGGGTTAATAAAACCTGCAGTGTTTCTAATAGGGCTAAACAATTACTCGAACTCAAATTAGAATTGTGATTCGATGTAATGCAAATAGCAAATTTCGAAGGCTTTAATGTAGAATACAAGCTTTGCAGCACGTCTGATCCAGGGTTTAAACTGTCCTGTCAGTGGTTTCATGTGGGACAACTGCAAAAGTATTTATCTCCTGTGATAACACACCATGTTTTAACACTATTACACAACATATACTGTTCTAAACCCTGAAAAAAAACATATATCAAGTATATTAAAACTTATGTTGCACATCAAATACCAACTGACTTAGGGTGAAGGCAGGGGGACACTGTGGGAAATTCAGATTTTTAATTACACATTCAATTGGAGAAAAATAAGAAAACTGGCATAAATCGATAAAAAATATCTGGAGCCCATCAGCAGTCTATAAAACAGCCTCCTTCTAAGCAGAGCGTCTGAGCGGTTTTCCATCTGTGGGTTATTTTTACGTCACAGTGTGGACCTCGTGACCCTGCTATGGGAGGATAAATGTCACTTAGTGGTTGTTTTATTCTGTCTTCCACCTGTTCCATTATAGATCACTCACACAGAGCCGTCACCACGCCGACCAGCAAACCCCGGAACATAAAGATAAAAAACACTCTTCCTTATTCGAGTGAGAACTTTTCAGTCTAGATCATGTTTGCAAAGGGGAAAGTCGGTCAGCAGCTTGTTATCTGTTCTTATCATGGAGGCACATGAAGGATTGAGTTTCCTCTCTACGGGGAAACTACAAGGAGAGAAGAATGAAATAAAGAGGTTGTGTTTCCTCCTTTCTAAGAATTGCCGTTTTGACTGCACCCACTTTATTTTGGATCGAGGTCATGTGTGGTTATTGTCAGATAGGATGATATAAAAGTGCACAGACGAGGTCAGTGTGTCTGTTTGCGTTGGGCGGTTGTGTATCCCGAGTTAATGAACACCTCATGCGCTGTAGGTGCTGCTGCTGCAAGTCTTCGCAGTTAAAACCTGACTAGCACTCAGTTCCACTCTTACACTCATGTGTCCTAAGAAGAAAAGGGCTTTGTTTCTTTTCCAGAATTCACTCTCTCCGCTCTCCGCTGCCAACGAGCCATCGCAGGCCAGGAACACAGCGTACCGAGGCTCTCATTCCTCAGAGTTCCTATCACGGGGGGTCAAACAGGAGTGAGGTTTCATGTGGGTAAAATTAGCACATGAAAAGAGAGCATGAGGGCAAATCCCAGCCCCGGACAAACCCTACTCCCATCGGCAGTCAAACACAAAGTGTTATGCAACAGGAATTCATCCTCCTCCGGCTTTCGGCCCACGCCCCATCCAGCACTCCCTTGTTGGAGAAGTTTTGTTGCATTGGTATTAATATCTGGGTGCACACATGCATGAGATAATAAAATGAACTGGATGTGCCAAAGGACGTGGATGAGGGGGCAGTAATGTTTGTCAACAGTTAAGATTAGCACCACTGCCCCAGATATGAGCCAGTGACGTTACTGAGAGAGGCGGCCGCCGGTTCAATGAGTTCTCCAGATGTATGCAGGCGAAACTCCTAAAACGTCCATCCATCCATTATCTATGCACCGCTTAATCCTCAGTAGGGTCGCTGAAGTCTATCCCAGCTAACTTAGGGCGCCACCTTGCAGCCCTACTCCTAAAACGGATTTCTGATAAATCATTTAAAGCGGCTCTTATCAACACAACTACATGTACAAAGGCTGAGATGAAAGCGGTCACTTATGCAACGACAAAACCACAGAGTGAACACCCGCCTCTGCAGCTTCTCTCAGCAGACAAAGAAGTTATTTTTGCATCTTTTATTTCGTTGTCACCACATGTCAAAACTTGACGGTTTGATTTTTGTCTTCCTGCTTTCATCGACGTTGTTTTCAGCCACATTCAGCAACTAGCAGGCGATCACAGCGCAGAACTAAGCAGCTAAAAGATCAAATATCTTCAAAGCTGAAAGTAGAATGAATGTTTAAATAAGCGACTGTTTGCTGACATGTTCATCGGCGTTATGAGGTGATAATGTGTCAAGAATTGTGTTTCTAGCTTGTTGCGTTGCTCCCAAGTGGCTGAAACATCGATTGACGCAGTTTCAATTCAATTTACAAGCTGCATGGTGACAAACAATATAATAACATAGACATTACCACCACTGGAACGATGTGTGGCAATGCAAGAAGTGGAAAATCTCATGAGTTGTACGCAAATATGATTGTTTTTGTTTATCAAGCTGTGGGATATTGTTTCTAGATTTTGCTGTGTAAGGCTTTTAAAATGCATTGTCTTCTAATGGCAGGAAAGGCCCTCACATCAGGGTTAACCCTTAAAACAATTGCAGTCCACTCAGGTGAGCTATTTTTAGGGTCCTGTTATTGTGCAAGCTGGGACAGGTTGAACCTGATTGGACGGCGCTCTAACAAAGTGGTCAAACAGACGAGCGAAATCTGCCGTTTGTCAGCAACAAGCCTTTCCTACCTGTAACGGATGCAGGGCTCAGTCGCGATCTCCTCCAGATGAAACTGCGCCCAGGGGTCGGGCATGGCTTTGGCCTTTGCGATTGCATGTAACCAGGCAGCCTGTCGCCGAAAAAAAGCACATCTTATTTGCTGTCAGTGCTTGTTTTTATGCACAAAGAAGGAAAAAAAAGTCTTCCAAAGGGGTTTGCAGGAACACAGAGAAAGAAAAAGGGGAAACTGTTCCATGCACAGCAGTTTAATTTGGTCATTTCAGGCCTGTTTGGGCTCTTTTCTCCACTATACACTCCTTTTTTTCTCCTGTTCTATGCTCATTAATTGACAAATAAAAATTCTCAGTTGCTGCATTGAACAGTTTCCCCTCCTTCTTTGAAGTAGGACATAAAACACAAAGCAGGGACAAAGAAGTGTAAATTAGATCTGCTCTGAGGATGAGGACAGACAGGGAATGACGCACACAATCATTAAAATGACAAAGAATGGATTAATGATCTGATCATGAAGCGATAAGCGGGTTTCACAGCAGGCCGAGTGTATTAACTGGGGGTTAACCAAGGTATCGTATTCTCCAAGAAATCATTTACGGCGTCCTCAAGACGAACGTGACCACCGGAGTGTTCCAACGCCGTCTGCACTTTTCAAAAAATAGCTTTCTTCGTAGGAGCCGTGAATCAGGTGTCACTACTTATCCAAATCTGTCAGGAGGTAACTCAAGCCCTCAAACCTTCACCATCTCATACTGGACAGCAACACGTCTGCCTCGTACCTCAAGGGTCGCTGTCCAGGAGACGTGTTTATATTTAGAGCGAGCGATTTACATAAAGGGAAATGTGAAGTGTCGTCTTTTCAAGCGAGAGAGCGTCACGTCTGTTGAGGAAGAGCCACAGAGCTCGTTCACATCCTGTCCAAAACCTTAAAGACACGTACAACTAAACGCATGTAAATCGTGGTTTAGTGCTGAAATACAATTCAGTGAAGGCTGCTTGATAACATTTCTGACATCTTCTAACTTCAATTTGTTTGCATTGCTTGAGTGTAGCTTTGTGAAGCACCAGGAAACTTTCTTATATGCAAGAATTAATAGGTTGTAAAAAACAAAGGATGACATACTGAAGGAAGGGAGGAAGCAGTTATCAGTGAGGAGATTTATGGGAAAAGTAAAAGCAAATTAAAAACAGGGAAAGGGTAGTAAATTGAAGAGTAGAGAGGAGGGAAGCTGAAGCATGGATGATCACCAGTGAAGAGGGAGAGAAGGGATCTGATCTGAAAACATACCCGTGCGGTCTCAGACAAAACCTTGTACGTGCGATGTTCTGCCGCTGTGTCTGTTTCATCACTCTATGCAGAAAGGCAAAGAAAACGGACGGCTTTTCGTCAGCAAACAGTTCATGCAGCATTAGCTCAGACAGCTTTAATTGCCTGGACGCTTTAAACAACAGCACTGAGCTCAGAAGGCCGTTCATCCAGACAGTTGGCCGGTGCACAGCGTGCTCTGAATCGAAGCATTGTGCAGCTGATCTGGAGAAAGCAAGGCTCTGAGCTGTGTTTACATACAACGTAGTCACACGAGGTGAAAACCAACCTCTGGTGCTTCCTGTTCTTGTCAGGGAGTATATTTAACAGGTGGCTGGCCAGCTTTCCACTTGAGCACACAGATATACAGTAAACACACTTACATATAGCACACATACTGCTGCAGCTGTGCAGGCATGCACCCATCATCTGTCCTTTTAAGGCAAAGAGCTGTCCTCAGAGGTTATGACGGAGCACATTGAACATCACTAAACAAGCCACTTGATTGCAATATCTGCTGACACTGTTCCCTTTACTGCACTTCTGACCATCATCTTGCATCACAATTTAAAGGCGGCAGCAGCTCACCTTGTACACTAAGTTGTTCCTGGGGGAGTTCGACAGCTGCCGACTGTAAACCAGATTCTTCAAGTAGTGACAGACTTCTCTGGCCGAGTCGTCCAGGATGGGACAGATGAAGTCTTCATCGTCATCGTCGCTGGCGTTGGCGTCGCTGAGCGAGGACGCCCGCAGCTGGAGCACGCTGCGCTGCTCCGGGGGTCTCTTGGCGCTGCCGTCCTCCTCCATGCTGAACATCAGGTCGTCCTCCATGATATCTGGGGCGAGAGGACAGCAGAGCCACATGAAGAGATTGTGGAGTGGAAGTGGGGGGTGGAAGCCACAGCAGTACGTGCACAAAACAACTCTGCATCATGGCTGCACGCTTGTACAGTAAGGAAGTCCCTGCACAAGTGGGTGCACGGTGATGTCTGAATTACAAGTGTGCAGTTCAATCAAAACAGTATCAGAATGCAAAAGGAATTGTTGGAGCTGTGTTTCCCAGCAAATGTAAGCTCCAGTCTGTTCCCTTGTAACTGGAGGTCATTGTGAGATTGTTAAAGCAGCTGCTGGTTTGCAGAGAGGAAAACAAACCAAGTGCAATTTCCCCTATACATGCAAAACGGTTGTGGGACAAGATGTTCCAGTGTGCAGGAATGTGGTTCCCCTGTTTACTTTCATTCATTGTATTATTGTATATACTAGTATGTGCACGAAGTAAATAAAAAACCAACCTCGTAATCACGTTATCTTGACAGCAAGTGATAAATATATCCTCCTCTTCTTCCTTCCTTCCTTCTTCTCTCTCAGGCTGAGCTAGAAGATCAACAGGAGCTGCAGATCAGTCCTCCTCCCAGACCAAACCGGAGTGAGTGGCTCGGTCTCGGTTCTCCACGGTGTCCTGAAGATCCAGGGACGTGACTGGCAGCGAGCTCTTGTTCCCGTGAACAGTCCACCACTGGAACGCGCTCGGTTTGCACGTACAGCGCCGCTCCCCGCTGGCTCCGCCCACAAGCGCTGCTGCATTCACGGCCGTCGGAAAACTAACCTGCGACGTGAATCAAGAGAAGTCCGTGATATTAAGGGGCTTCTAATTAGACACGTTAAATTGGATACAAACACACACGGGCTTAACTAAGCGCACAACAATCAAAAAAAATGGGTGAAAACAAGTGTGAACACCAAGCCAGCTGGTTAATCTGGTTTCGAAGGAGCATTTGAACGCGGCGTGTAATAAATTATTGCCAATGCAGTCTTGTACACAAGGATGAGCAGCAGGGTGGAAAAACCAGGAACTATTTTCTAGCAGGGTTGGGTCAGGTCACTTTGAAATGTACTCAGTTAATGCCTACTAATTAAGTGATGTTTTTTCTTCCTTGTAAAATAATCAATTGGATTATATTAAAAAAAAAAAAAAAGCAATCAAATCTGAACACTGATGGATTCCTTCAAAATCAAACACTACAAATATTTCACATTAAACAAGAGATATTCTTACATTATATTTTATTAAATATATTCTACATATTTATGTAATAATTGATATATTGTTGTATATTTGAAATTGCAAAATAGTCACAACCAATCAATAATAATAATAATGACGATGACGCTGATAATAAAACAACTTTTTTATTCGTATGCTTCTGTATGATTTTGACAGAATTTATTGCTATGCACCAAAAAACCTCAACAAATTCTGTAAAAACCTACTTAGCGATAGAACACCACATACTGTAATATTTTGCACACTCCCTGAGAAATCATCTGAACATCCAGGCATCATGTTATATCAGTAAATTAGATTAATTAGTGCTTCAAACAATCTGAACTCAAACTGCTTCCGATGCTGATGTGATTGTTGCATCCTTTCTTTAAATAGCTGAGGCCTGGGGGTGGAAGAGGTTGAACAAGCTGTCTGTTTATGTGTATTTGGAGTGTTTGGTATGTGATGTTGTGTCTGTACTTGTTCTGAATTCCTGTTTTTAGGACCCTCTTGAAAATAAGAGGCTACATCTCAAATGGCTGTTCTTTAAATAAATCAAAAGCAATTGCCTTTATCTTTAATTTTCCTCTCCGGACATAAAGGAGCATGCTTAAGTTTGGCACAAAGTGCAGCAATAATCACATCAGTGTTTGGTTCAGTGGGGAAAAAATGCAAATAATTCCCATTTCCAGGGTTAGGGTTAATATCTGTCAGAATAGTTACATTAGGGTTTGTTTCACTTTATTTTTTGCATATCATTCAGCTCTAACGGCCACAACATTTTGAGTTCTGTGTGCATTCTTTTTTTTTTTTCTTTCTTCAACATCTCAAAACATTTTCTGTGCAAATTAAATCGATTTTGCATATTGAGCAGGTGCACTGCGTGTATTCTACAACTTGTGGCCAGGTTGGCAAATTAAAATTTGTTTGTTTTACTTGAGATTTATGGACAATTAGGTTTATATACCTGTTTTTTTTACAATAATATAATATTTTGAGTGCTCCTCTGGCATCACAGTAAAGTCATCCGTGTCATCAAATAATCCACGATAATATAAGTAATATCTAAATGCAATTTTTTTTTAATCAGTTGTTTTTTTAAAAAAATATGTTAATTAAATAATTGTGATTACATGTGATCCGTTACTACTCTCCGCTAGATCAACAGCTGACATGTCAAGATGCAAACAGGTCCTTAAACTTTTTTTTTTTTTTTTTTTTTTTTTTCTACTTGCGGTAGATTTACAACACACCGTTTGGCTGCTATAATTAGCCAGCTAATGGCGAGTTAATTAGAAAACAAACAGAACTAACGGCTATGGCGCCATTTACTCCCCCGACGTTCCAGTGTAACGTTAGTGACGGTTTCCACGCAACCGTCGCCGTTCGGTTCGCTTCACAGGTCCCGCGCGGGTTAGCTTCGTGGGGGACAAAAGAAATCGATAGCTAACGCTAGCTAGCTAAAGGTAAGTAAACCTGGAGCGCGACAGGAGTAAAGCTAACGGACTGAACGTCTTTGTGCAGCCGCTCCGTAAAGTTTGTGGGAACCGAAGTTACATTATGTATGTCTTTAAAAGAAGACTAACCTGACCTCGCGCCTCCTGGACTCCATAGTATAAATTAATAGGTCGGTCGCAACCTGGTATCGTGGTAGCGTGGCCGAGTGGTCTAAGGCGCTGGATTTAGGCTCCAGTCATTTCGATGGCGTGGGTTCGAATCCCACCGCTGCCATTAGCTTTTTAATTGTGCACTTCATGCACAATAGCGCTTATATCACGGTGTAGCGCTCCTGATGAGAGACAAAACCACAAATTGGCTTTTCTTTTCAGCTTTTGTTATCTGTTAGTAATAACAGCGGATGGTGTTGCAGCGCCATCTTGTGGCCACATTGTAAACTGCATGAAAGTGAATGAGTGCATCTTCTGTGAAGAATTAGAGTACAATAAAAATACTGCTAAGCTTCAAACAGCTTACAGAAATAGGATCCTTCCAACAGAGCTCCATATTTCTCATAGTAAGAGGTTGAAATTAAAACACGAGGTTCTCCAGGATCACCAATAAAAGATAGATAATACATCACAAACATACATAAACAAAAGAAACGAGAGATAATGGTTTATTACATTTAATGTATAATGCTGATTCTGAGGTCAGCATCCAAAGTGCCTCTTGTTGTGTTTGCTTAATGTCTGACATCCTTCAGCCTTCTTCTAGATTACTTAGAGTATCTAAAGTTATATCAATAAAATTTGATAGGAACGGCTGCAGTAGAATAAAAAACAGTTTTTAAACAGTGAATCGTGAAATCTTCAAAGATCCTTTGTCATAATTACTCTTCACATCACTGGCTGTATCACGTTTCACTGGGCCCTGACTTTTTCTTTCAAGTGCTGAGAGGCCACAAATTGCATTTTCTGGATGGCGAGCTGGGTATCTTCGGCTGATATCCCATGATGCCACACAGCCCGTACGGAGTTTTCAAAATAAGGGAACATGAGAACTTGTATCCCCTGCCCCAGTGCGGCCTCCTCTCCCTCGCCAACCTGAGCCATGCGGGCACAGAACTCATGAGGACCTAATCTGGGATCTGGCAGACGGAAACGCAGGATGTTTGTCTCCACTGCAGCCATGTCCACAGAAAACAGAGGAGACTGGCAGTCGAGCAGAGCTGAGAGAGGAGAAGCAAGACAACAATTAGCCGGTTAACGTTATAGTTTTAATAGACAGAAGCATCATCTACTCACCTTGAGCAAAGGTTTTTGCATTGTGGTGATCCTCCACCAGCCTTTCCACCATATCCTGCAAAGCCAGTTTTCCAGCTGCTGCTAGTATACCAGACTGCCTCATGCCTCCACCCAGGGCTTTACGGCACCGTATTGCTCGAGCTATAAAGTCCTTAGGTCCAGCCAGCATGCTACCCACAGGAGTACCTAAACCCTGTTACACACCCAAAAACATTACAGTTACATGGCTCACTGTTTGCCTTTGTGAAGTTTGCTGTGTTCTTATCTACTCTGTATGTGTTGGTGCCCTTCAGACGTACCTTGGAGAGGCACGCGCTGACGGTGTGTGTGTGCTGCAGGATGGTGGATGGAGGAACACCTTGGGCCACGGCAGCGTTCATCACTCTGGCTCCGTCCATGTGAACTGACAGACCGTGTTGATCTGCTAAAGCACGGACCTTGGGGATGGACACAAACCGTCCAGACATGATCAAAACTCTAAAAGAACCAGGATCCTCCATTCTCTTTTCATAAGGCAAGTATCATCGCTGCTTTCACATGTTGACATAAAAGTTTCTGCAGAGATTGTGTCACCAAATGAAATCGCAGTTAAATGAGGGGCTGTATTTCATCTGTAGCCCTGGATAATGGCTGCAAAGTCGCTGTACAAACAGAACTTTAACATAGAAAAGACTACAGGAGACACTCTATATGGACACAAGTATTTGGACACACCTTTTAATCATCTGCATTTAAAAACATTTGTAAAAGAATGGGTCTATTTGATAAGCACAGTGAGCAGGATGCCACCTTTCAATTAGTGTTAGAGCGTAAAAATCACAAACACTCTGTTGACTCTGTAACTGCACCGAAAGCTTCATGGAAAGCCTACAGCCAATGGAGCAGTGGAAACATATTCTGTGGAATGACAAATCATGCTTTTCTGTCTGGCATTCAAATGAAGGAGTCTGGGTTTGGCAGACAAAAGGGGGACGTACCTGCCTGACTGGATTGGTTTGGGGTAGGTCCCTGAGTTCCACTGAAGGGGAATCGTAATGCTTCTACATACCAAGACAATTTGGATATTTCTGTGTTTCTAACTTTGTTGGAACAGTTTGAGGGCCCTTTTCCGTTGCAGCATGACTGTGCCCCAGTGCACAAAGCAAGGTCTATAAAGACCATGGTTTGGTGAGTTTGGTGTGAACTTGACTGGCCTCCAGAGAGCCTTGACCTCAGCCTCATCAGACGGCTCTGGGGTGAACTACATTGGAGATTGTGTGCCAGGCCTCGTCTTTGAACTAAAGTGCCTGACGTTTTCTCATACAATTCTCATCGACAGGCTCACCTAGTTGAGCGGGGGACCCATGTACAGGGGCTATAGGTCCCCGACGCAGTGGTCGTGGGTTCGATTCCCGCTCACGACCCTTTGTTGCAGGTCTCTCCCCATTCTTCTCCCCCCTTTCCTGTCTCTCTTCACTGTTCTAAATAAAGGCTAAAAAATCCCCCCCAAGAAAGAAGTTCTCATAGACTCTCTCCAAAATCTTGTGGAAACCCTTCCTAGAAGAATGGAAGCTGTTATGGCTGCAAAGGTGGGAACCAACTTCATTTATTGCTTATGGATTTAGAATGATCATAAAAGTTCCTGTGTAGGTGTAATGGCCAGGTGTCCCAATACTTTTGACAATATGGTGTATGACGCAGAAGCACAGACATAAAACACCAAAGAATGCTTAAAATACATCATATTTAAAGCCACAACGACAACCATGCATGCACACACACCTCCTTTAGGAAGGGCAGAGGCAGCACTCGTCCTCCCTGAATGTTGTGTGTGTTCTCCAAACATATGAGGCGTGAGCGGGGGTAGTGGGGGTCTGGATACCCGTGACGGATCTTTGACTCCAGCTGATCCAGGTCAAATGTCCCATCAGGGAGGGTGGTCACTGTGGTGGAGTGGACACCAGCCAGCTGTATCCACACATCAATACACATTTATTACAGCAATATAATATAAAACGATGCTGACTGCAGGTGTCTGCTGCTCCTGTGCACTCACCTGTGCGCTGCTTCCTTGCTCATAGATGTGTATGTGGCACCGATCGCCCACAATCATCTCGTCACCTCGCTCCCTGCAGTGCACCATCACTGCATGATGAAATGCATTCACATTTACGACCGTCCCCTCTTCATAAAAATTGATTCAGACTCCAATAAAAGCACCGCTCACCTGCGATGAGATTACCCATGGTTCCAGAGGGGACGAACAGGGCAGCCTCCATCCCAAACAGATCAGCTGTCATCTTCTGCAGCTCTGCAGAAACCACGAAAACGCCGGAAATGTTGAGGTTGCATTTCATAAACTGAGAGGCAGAGATTAGAATCGTGTGCAGAGACATTTCTGCAGTGTAATGTGCTACCTGAGGGTCAAAGGACAGAAGGTGTCTCTGTGTTCTGTCGCTTGTAGAGCAGACAGGAAGCTTTTTGTTAACTCATGATCTCTTAGTGGTAAATGATTATCTACTTTTCAGCTGCTTGGAAGATGCGCTACTTTAAAGCAACGTGGTGTCTAATATGTGCATGCCAGGAGAACATTAATAATTAACGAATGGCTCTGCATCAGAGGAACAACAACACGCTGATGCCACATTGTAGAACTTTTCTAACTAATTCCAAAGTTACACATAAAAGTAAAAACCGTTGACTGTCGGGTCTTCTCCCATCACGTCATCTCCCACCTCGGCCTCCGCCATGGCCCGTCTCATCGCCGGACCGGGCTTCGTCACCGTGTCGCTGCGGAGGTCCACGACCCGTACGTGGGCCGCACTGCCCGGTCCGGGCTCCGCGGCCCTCCCGGTGTTGTAGTAGCCCCTCGCTGAGCTCCGTACCTGCGCGGCGGCCGCAGCATTTCTCCCTGGCAGCGGTTTGCTCGAAGCGACGACACCGTGGTTCAGAAATCTAACCAACAGCCTGCAGGACAATGACTTCCACCACATGATGCCCACCTGTCACCACCTTCACACCAGGTGGTGTTGTTGTGGAACTACGGATCGATGGACTCGATAATCATTTACAGCAAGGACAGTTAATGGATTACCGATCGATTCATGGGTGGACCTCAAGGTGGCGCCAGCATCCCAGCAAAGACTGAACACTGACAAACGGATCAGTTCTCCTATCAGTCAGTAGATACACAGCATGTGTCATTTCAATGAATTTCACACAGTAAGGTGAAGAAATACATTTTGTATATTACAGGAAACCCAACAAATCCAAACAATACGCTGTTTGTTGAAAGTGGAAACAGAAAAACAAAATCCTTTTTAGCAGGAAAACACCTTCAGCAGAACCAGGCTCTGGCGTAAGGGTAGACTGAGTTCCAAATTGCATACCTGTTATGTTCTATTATAAAACATACTTGGTAATAATCGTGGGTGCTTCGGTAGAAATCAACTGGGCTTCTCTTGTAGGTTCTTGAAGATGTTCCATCTCTCATACAAGGACATACATACTCAAATCATTTAAAAAGTTCATCAAAACAGTATGTCTTTACAAATAAACTATGTTTCATGAAAAAAATGGTGTAATAGATGGATTTAGCATTTGGTTAGTCAATTTAGGAGATGCGTCGGTTTGCGGTTTGTCAAACATTTCAACAGCTCATAATCAAGCTCGGCTTTAAATCCAAAACTCGCTAAAATGTCATTCTCCAAACCATTTCCAACTCATCTGGAACAACAGCTGGATTATGAGATCTCCATGGTTAAAAGAAAAAAGGACAATTCATGACTAAAATCTTCAAAAACCGTACACTTTTTGCAAAGTCCCCACATCTCAATTATCTCTTTGCAGTTGGGTTTTCAGGCTTTTCCTCCGGGTGGCTTTTCTGGTGAGCTTTCAAGGTGCGCTCACTGACTGATGAGGAGTTACAGAATTCATAGTCACTCCAGCTCACATGGCTAATGGCCCATCAACAGCTCAGGTTTGCTTTTGGAAGATTTACGGGTGCCATGTTCCTTTCATTTCTTTTTTTTTTTTTTTACTTTATTTTTATTAATAAGAAACACAGTACAAACATTCCTTGACAACATCATAAAGCATGTATGACAGTGCGAGAAATACAATAAAATAATAATAATAATAATACTGATGGGTGAAAAATAAATACGTGGACAGTTAAGACTTTCCAGCATGATGTGAGCTTCCCCTCATTTAGAGAGGTATGTTGCTATAGGTAGCCACCTCCTCACAAAAACATCAGACCTCAAATGTAACTGAGCAATTCCTTTCATTTGTTAATTAGAGATGTACCTGTACTCACTCTGACTCGATCATCTAGGACCGCTCCCAGATGATCGAGTCAGGCCAGTTAATGGATTACCTATCTGCTCATCCACATGCACAGAGCAGAGTGGACCTCAAGGTGGCACCAATTTCCCAACAAATACACAAGAACACTGACAAAATTATCTATTATCTACTACTGCTGTCAGTAGACACACAGCATGTGTCATCTCAGGGCTCTTCACATAGTAAGTTTGAAGACCTTGCAGGTTTATACTAAAGAGAGAAACACAACAAATCCAAACATGGTGCTTTTTGTCAACAGTGGAGGGGAAAAAACTCCCCTTTAAGTGGAAAAAACCACCGGCCCAAGGAAGTTTTGAAGTTTCGGAAACAGGCTAAAGGTGGCCTGACTCACCAGATGTGGGATCAGGTATAAGCCTGTCATTGGTTGCTAATTTCAGGCAGCTTTGTCTTTCCCTTCCACTGCCTGCGTGTTACTATTTTCTTCGCTCCAGGAAACAACAACAGAAAGCTACCACACCAAAAATGTCAACTTTTGCACAGTGTTTGGATTGTGTAGTAAGGCAGCTTTGGTAGTTTTATTTTTGGGGTTTTTTATTTCCTCTGTGGATAATCTATTTTTTTCTGACCTTACATGCAAATGTCCCACCAAAAATTCCACCTGTCACGACTTTGGTTGAACACTGAAGTTGCATCCTTCGCTTAGCCCCGCCTATGATGGCTGCGATTGGTTTGAAGCAACACAGACAAGCTTTTTTTGCCCTATAAAAGACTGACAGTGAGGTGCAGCCAGACCATGTTGTACTACAGCATGGGCACGTTCCAAATCACATTCTTTTAACTTGAGTTTCATACTACGGCTGCCGTGACAAAGTACATACTGGTATTGCAGTATGCATACGGTTGGGACACACTACTTTGTCATAAATCAGTAGCATGACATAAGCCGTCACCAGTTTGTGCGTCTCAGACTTGTTTATACTCGCGTGAGACACTCTGGCGTTTGTGATGTAATTGCACAGAGGATTGTGGGTCAGAAAATCATGCTGGTTTGCATACTGCAAAATCTAACTGGACATAGGAGGACATCCTGGTATTTTTGGCATACTACATTTGGCATACTTTGCACTGGGACAAAATAATAGTGTGGATATTGGACAATGGAGCGCAACAGTAGTCTTGTTTAGTCAGTCCATTCTCTATTCTCTAATGGTCTGGCTGCACTTTTATACCTGGAAAACATGCTGTCTAGAGATGTGTTAGTGTTCCGTCGCAATTTATCCTCGACATCTGAAGAGAAACTAACCCCAGTACTCATCTTGCCATTTACAGTGTGTAGGTTACTGGTCATTGGTGAGGAGAATTGTGTAAACAGCACAATTCAGAAAACCGAAGGGAGGGAGGAAGCCATCTGAAATGAGCAGCCAACGGTAGGCTTATACCTTCATCCTACATCTGGTGTGTCAGACTGAGGTAAAGTGAAAAAGGACAAGGACATTAGATATAAAACAAACAATGCAGAAGGGATGGATAGACAATACAACGACATGCTGTGTAGGAGTGTTTGCAAATGAGGCAGTATAAAGACCAGCAAAGTCCACATTTGGAGGAGATGGGTGTGGGGGTGGTATGAGTCAGTAACAGGGCTTTTACTCAGGACAGTGCAGTTCAGTCTGATGTGGGACCATTGTTTATAGTTATAGTTTACTTATTACACATTTTTTACTGTTACTATATTTGTTTTTAATCTTTGATTAGGTTTAACAACCAAAGCTCCTTGTTTAGGTGTAGGAAAGGTAAAAGGGCTTTTCACAGCTTTAACTACATGTTCAGGGGCACATTTTTTTCTATCTACAACAAGCTTCTCCTTCATGTCCTTAGTTACCTGAATGTCGAGTCCTGCTCCATCTAAAAGGAGCATGAGTGATGACACCACTGCCTTTCTCCATTTTATTCCACCTATCCGGGGTCAAGTTGTGGTGGCAGCAGGTTAAGTAGGTCATTCCAGATGTCCCTCATTCCAACAATGTTTCACAGTTCCTCCTGAGGGAACTCTAGGCATACCTAGGCCAGATGAGATATGTAATTACCCCCCTAGTGAGTTTTGGGTCTACCTTGGGGTCTCCTCCCAGTTGGACTTGCCTGAGAAACTGTCAAAGGAAGGCACACATCCTGTGCAGATACCCGAACCACCTCAGCTGACTCCTTTCGATGCACAGGAGTCCTGATTCTTCTCCAAGCTCCCTTCAGATATTCAAGCTTCTCACCCTATCTCAGATGGCACATATCCACAGGGGTGTTTTCAGATAAGACATGGCGGCTTTCTTTCTAACTTTCTCTTTTATCACAAAAACAGTCCAAACTGTCACTCATGAACAAGATCCAGAGATGCTTAAACTTCTTTGCATGGGGCAGCAACCCACCCTCAGCCCAGAGGGAGCAATCCTTTGGCGTCAGACTTGGAGGTTCTTGCTAAAGGTCAGAGCTTGATGAAGCCAACAGAACCACATCATCTGCAAATAGCAGAGACATGACTCTTAAGATACCCAAACCAGACTCCCTCCTCACCCTGGCTGCGGTTTAAGAATTTACATGCACTATTCACTTGAAAGCAAGACATCGCCTGTACGAGCATTGGTGGTTTTAAATTCCATTTAAACAATTAAGCAGAATGGTTGTTTTTCTGGTGAGGCTGGGCTGCGCAAGTCAGAGAAAGATATTTAAAGATCTTTACACCAAATTGTTCAACCATATTAGAAACTTTTTTAAAACTGTGATCTCAGAACTGTTGCCAAACTGGTAACATAATCCAGAGAATTATAATCTCCTCGTTTATATACTTATATACAAAATAACAGAGCAACTCGGTATTCTAATGAAATCTCATATGCAATCTAAAAAGTGTGTTTATACGGTTTGTAAGAGATCTCTGTGAGGCTGTGTTGTGGTTGTAGTGTTGCTCTGGACTCAATTGCATTCTGAAAAGTATTAAATTAACGGACACAGTTTCAGCAAAAACTGGACGTTGAAGGCTTTAACAAATAATATCTACTGACAGTTAATATGTGTGGTTAATATCATACTGCACGGGTGATCATTTTTATTGCATATGCCCCATGTGTGTTCAGATTACTTCGCTGTATTTGAAACATTTAAACAGAAAACATCTATGAAAACAGGAATAGTCTCTTCATGTGTTTTCTCTCAATGTTGTTGATACCACACACATATGGCGCTCTGAATATTACGGTTTTCCCCGAAAATGATCTCAGACATATTCCTCCATTTTTCCACAATTATCTCCAGCCGGAATAGGTCATGTCTGATGCAGAGTGTGAATCTGAATATATTTGCCTGTGCAACTCGCCGTGGACGGCACGATGAATGAGACGCGCATTTGCATAAACGTCTCTGTCTGCGCCAGCGTTTGTGTGATTTGTTTGCACCGTGCTGTAGACACGAATGCTCGGAAATAACAACTCGACCTTTTTCGGGGTTCATGAACCTGTTCTTGGCCTGACCTTTATCCTCGCTCTGAGCATTAGCTTATTGTAGAGACCTATAAAGGAGGTGAAATCCTCCAACCCCCCCAGCATGCACAAATTCACACACATAGCATGATGAGGCTATGGGCTCAATCCTAAATTAAACTGGTTATATCCAGCACTGCCCTCTATTTTTATCAGTAGTAAAGCCCCAGTTCCCCCATGTCTCTGGC